GGATAAAGGATGACTATCAGATTTTGGATCCTGCTACTGTTGTAATAAATTATCTTTCATCTCTGAGCTAGTAGTCTCAGGATCTCCTATGATCATCCATAAAATTGTGACAAACTCACTATTATCTTGTCCTAACTGAGGTAGAATTTCAGATCCTTTATGGTTCTTGACAATCACACTTATAAGTTTTGAAAATTTTATGGAAGTATGTAACTGAGAATAAATTATAACTAAATACCAAAAAAATTTCAATTATTTTATGTTTATTGGGGAAATTGACAACTTACATATAAAAAGAACCATGACAAGTATAGAAAATGTAATACCTATATCACTAATGCACCTTAAAACACATGTATATGTTTATAAACATCTTTATTAATATACTTACGGTTGATTCCCATTGCTCATGATAGTTATGCTCTATAAAGTTGCTGTGAACACTGAATTAGTGAATACAGAACCATTGCTCTGAGAGGAAGTGCAAGGTTAGGTTCCTATGAGGCTCTGGTCACATTTTTATCAGCTGATTACACATAACTTTGTTTTACATGTGTTTTGATCTAACAACATCTTACTAATATATATTTCTTACAAATGATTAATTGTATGGTCTTTGAATGATTTAAAGGCTTCAGAGTCTGTTTATGATAAGTATATGTACGTTTGCTTGCCAATGTTCTTCTAAAATAAGCCAGTCTCACTGGCGACGAAAACCACTTTTCTATGTAACCCTTTTCCTGTATAACACTTAGCCGTTATTTCCATAAAACCTAATATTTTTCACACCATATTGCCTTTTGAAATGTGCAAGCCAGCCAGTGCTAGCTGAGATAAGTTTAATATTTTCCTAACCTCAGGTAACATGACTTTGGCTTTCCTCATAAAAATGCTGTTCACTATGCTTCGTCACGGTAACAAATGTGGATCATTTCACGTATCCACAAAGTTAGCTGCTTTTCCATCTTTTCCCTAGCTTCATCAAGTACTACAGATGCTACTTTTTGTACTTTCTGGAGCAGCCTCACATATATTGACACATTTCCTTCTTTGGGGGGAAATGTACCGTATTTTTTGATTCATAGCACTGAATTTACAGCCAACAGCACTATAAACTGACGTCTGCACGAAGCTTACCTACTTTGCAGCATTTTCTCCCTAACATACATCCCAGACTTCTTGCACTCAGAATACTAAACAACACTTTAGCACTATGCTTGGGGACCATGTTAAATAGCAAAATCACTGACAAAAAGCACAAAAATGTGAAAAACCCAGCACTAAACAGATCACCAAAAGGATACCTGTTTATAGTATGAAACTTGAAACAAAACGATCTTGTTCAACCTTAGCTGGCAATGTGTGTACCAGGCAACAATTTTTCCCTGCTCTGTGCATGTTCTGGAATAAACATGAATGCACCATCAGTACTGTTAGGTTTGGCCTCTTGGTGGACTGTTGTCCTGGTTCTTTGGCTCCATGCTTGAAAGAATCACAAGCAAGACCAGTGTGATGGAATAATTGCAGATAGGAAGCAATTCCACACAAACAGCTTTTATTGCAGAAAAGGAACCTATACAAAGCAAAAATATATTCCAGAGAGAAATAGGTCAGTCTCCATGAGTGGAGAGAGTTGTTAAAGAGTCCTAGGTGGTTTTTTTTTTTCCTTTTCTTTAATTTTCAGAATATTACAGGGGTACACGTTTTGGGGTCACTGTTGTGTATATATATATATATTTTTTTTGAGACAGAGCCTCAAGCTGTCCCCGTGGGTAGAGTGCCGTTGCATCACAGCTCACAGCAACCTCCAACTCCTGGGCTCAAGCAAGTCTCCTGCCTCCACCTCCCAAGTAGCTGGGACCACCGGCGTCCACAACGCCTGGCTATTTTTTTTGGTTGCAGCCATCTTTGTTGTTTGGTGGGCTCAGGCTGGATTTGAACCTGCCACCTTAGGTCTATGTGGCCGGCACCTTAGCCACTTGAGCCACAGGCGCGGAGCCTACAGTTGTATATTTTAAGTCAAAGTTTAATTGTGCTGTTCACTTAAGTCAAAGTTTTTTTTTGTTTTTTTGAGACAGAGCCTCAAGCTGTCCCCCTGGGTAGAATGCCATGGCATAGCTCACAGCAATCTCCAACTCCTAGGCTCAAGCCGAGTCTCCTGCCTCAGCCTCCCAAGTTGCTGGGACCACAGGCGCCTGCCACAATGCCTGGCTATTTTTTTTTTCAGTTGCAGCCATCATTGTTGTTTGACGGGCCCAGCTGGATTCAAACCCACCACCTTAGGTGTATGTGGCTGGCGCCTTAGCCACTTAAGCCACAGGCGCCGAGCCAAGTCAAAGTTTTGATTGTGCCACTCACACAGAAAGCATGCAATGTACCCGTGCAATGTTAGGTGGTTTCCTTTTATGGGCCTGGTCCAGGGGAGGTGTGGGAATGTCACCAGATGATTGACATGTACTCTGTGTTTTTCTGCAGTCCCTTCCCCTCACTTGTGTCCCGGGTCTCTGCCCCTATGAACTGCCCTCCTGGCCTGTATCTGCCACCTGTAGATTTGTTCCTTTTCTAACAGTACTGAGTTTGAAGTTACAAATTTCATTAAGTAGGCAAATTTGCAAAAATGAAATTTCATAATAATGATTAACTGTATGCACATAATTTTAACTCCATCATAAATTTAACCACACTATTTGATTTCACCCTGTCCTTAACCAGGCTCAGCCCTACCCCTGACTCTGTCCACAACCCATCCAGTACCTCTGGTAATAGGTGTCTGAGCGCCCGCAGGTGGCCCCTGACTTGCGAAAGACCTCACGGCGCTTCCAACCAGGGCCCAAGGCTGGGCAGTCCAGCCAGTCCTCAGCCATGGAAGCCACAGGAATTAGCAGCAGCCTAAAAAGGTGGAAGGAGGGGGGTGCACGGGGGAAACTGAGGCTCTAGGAAGGGAAAAACTGTGCCCCAGGCCACACAAATCACTGGTGTCTATTAGTGCTTGCCCAAGATCTAAGACCTGCCACAGGCAACTAGCCCACATACATGGAAGAGAAACCCCACCCCCCAATTCCTACCCCACTCTTTCTTGTTCTGGGTCCCAGAACTTCTCATTTCTCCCCCTTCTTAACCTGGTAACCACCACTCCTCATCCTTAACTGAAGGGTTCCCGTTTCTTATTCTCAGTATCCTAACCCCCTTAATCTTTCCATCTTCAGACTGAGAGCCCACCATTTCACTCTACTGCTAACGCAGGACCATTTCATTACCCATCTCCGATAGGTCTGTCTTTGACCTCCAGGTCCCTATCCCTCCCCTTTATTGCCCTAAGACCTGCATGCTCCTCAACTTCAGCCCAAGAAGCCATCAATCCTCTTGCCCTCAATATTCTACTTCAGTGTTCCTACCTTCTAGTCCTCCTCTTCTTTGACTCACAAGTTCCTAGTTTCTCTCCAGTTTTAACCATTCTATTCCTTCCCTGTCTAATGTCCTCTTATTCTGCTACTTCAGTGTCATAACTTCAAACTTCCCCTGTGAGAAAGCCCCCAAACCCTTCTCCTTGGTCCGAGCAGACCCTCATTCTTTTCATTTCTCAGTTGAAAGACTCTCATTCCCACCCTTAGCCCAAGAGCTCCCTTGCTTATTTTCCCTCTCTCTCAATGCTGTCCCACATTTTCTTCCCAATCTCAGACCTCCTATTCCTCTCCTCTGCAGCCCCAACGTTCTCCACTTCTCCCCTTCCTCACCTTCCATTCTACCTCACCAGTCTGAGACCCTGATATCTCCCCTTAGCATTCTGACCTCGCCCCCCATCGCTCTCCATTCTTGTCCCAGGATCATGCCATCCCTAGCTGTCAGCGCTCTAACCTATTTCTCCTCATCCTCTATTTGAACACACCCCCGTCACTTCCTTTCAGCATTCCAACGGTCTCATTTCTCACTGTCATCAGTCGGCAGCCCCCTCATTTTTCTCTTTCTCAGTGTCTGAATCCCTTTTTCTCTCTCCTTAACTTCAGAGGCCCAATGTCTCCCCTCCGGGTTCCGAACTATCCCATTTCTCTCAGACTTCGTCCCAGGATCTCGACACTCCCACCTGTCAGCGTTCTAAGCCTCACTCCTTTCCGTCCTCCGCCTAAATGCACCCACTCCTTCCCTTCAATATTCCGAAGCCGCCATTCCTCCCCCTTACCGGCCCGAGGGCCCGTCATTCCTCCCCGTCAGCGTTATGAGCCTCAATTCCTCCCCATCCTACGCCTGAGCGCTCTCCACTTCGAGCCTCACGGCTGTCTCACCAGCTCGGCACCAGGCCGGCAGCTTCCGCCGTTCTAGGCCCGTGGATCCATGGTTAGAGTCCCTCCTGCGCCTCCCGCCTTGCCCTACTCCCCTTCTTCCTCCTCCGCTGCCGCCTCCTCCAAAACGGTAGCTGTCGCCTCCGCGGCTGTTCGTTGCTCCCGGAACCGGATATCCACTGCCTGCCTCACGGGCCCCGCCCCCGACGAGACACCTGCGCGCTAGCGCCTCGGCAGCGCGTGCCCTTAACTGGGAGGCTCCCGCGCCTGCGTGTTGACGTTCACGGTGGCGCGCACCCACCGCCCTGGACTCGCAGCGCGTGCGCTCCTTGTTTATCCACCCAGCGGGTCCTCCCCAAGCTACCTAGTTTGCACATGCGCACTCCCGGCCGCCCTAAGGAGGCGTGGACTGTAGGGGTTGAGGCTGCGCTCTCGGATCCCTCTGGCGGTCTCCAAGAGTAACCAACAAGAGCTGAGAAGGCTGGGTTGCGCCTGCGCACTCCCTGGCCCAGCGGAGACCCTGGTCTTCCACCTCTTCCGGAGGTCGCGCCACGGCTCGCCAGCCCCTGAGAACATCTGCCCGAGGGCTATTGTGTCCCGCGCTCTCCTCCCGGCTGGACAGTCTCGGGATTGCGCAGAGACAAGCTTTGCTTTGCGCAGGCCCGGGTGGCTGAGCAGGCCGGGGGAAGGGGGCGGGGCCCCGCTGCAGGTAAACAGAGGACACCAGGCCACGGTGTGCGCACCCTGCACCGCCTGCTGTGCTGGACTACGGACCAGAGTGGGATCCCCCACGCATCCCACAGGAGAAATCTGCGGGAAATGTGGGAGCCTTGTGTCCACTGCTGAATCTAAGAGTGGTCTGGAGAGTATGAACACTCGGGAGTGGGAAATCAGACACACAGTGAGCAAGTGCTGAGTGTATGTATCCCCACTGTCCCTAAAAGAGAGGCTGAGCATACAGGTCAGTGGACATCAGGTCAACCCTCACAGCCTAACGGAGCACAGGGTCGGGGGTGCCTGTTTACTCACAGCATGTGCATGTACTGCAGCCCCTCCAGGGTACAGGTGTGCCACCACCCATCTTATCCAGGGGTTTGGAAATAGTTGCAACTGGAGCAAGTGTAGAGACCATCATGAGTTATCTTCCTTAGTTCTTCAAAATTTTATTAACAAAACCTAGAAAGTCCCACCCAGGCACAGAAAATGAAGAAACAGAAGAAAATTCTCAGACCCTCTAGTAAGAGCAGATGGCCAAATGGTGGATGGGCACAGAATTAAAGAAACACGAACAGTTGAACAAAAAAAGATGAAAGAGGAACGGACAAACAAGGGGCTCAGGGCAGCTTCCCCAACTGGAATGCAGGGGACGGTGTGGACCATCAAGGCTCAGCGGTCCGCACTGGAGCGCAGGTCGGTAGTGAGCGGGTCATGCTGGATTGTTTGGTGCAGCATCAGGGCCAATAATCCTGCCCGGTTTGTCATGGCTGTGCGCACATTGCGCTCCTGCTCAAATAGCTCGTCCAGCTTGTACCACTGCCAGGGGAGTGGAAGGCGCTATGAGAAGGGGCTTCTGATGCCCCATATGACCCTGGCTACAATCAACATCAAAACCTACCACACGCACGCGCTCCAAGTCCACTTCAGCACGCCGCAGCTTCTCCCAGCAGTAGTGGCGATTGCATTGGCGCTTGGGCAGGCGGCAAAAGTCACCTGTAAGCTCAAAGACATCACGAACAAGGGGGCACCCACACACCTCATCGGCTGGCACCTGCAAGGAAACCAGAGATGAGGATTAACAGGAGTGGTGAGGGAAGAAGACAGGAATAGGTGCTCAGGGAAGAAGGAAAGGAATGGAGAGTTCAAGGGAGAGTAAAGAGGCAAAACGAATAGGAATGGAGGGAAAATGCAGGGAAAAGGGAAATAACAGAGGTGACATGACAACAAAAGGGAGAATGAAGAGTGAGGAGGCAGAGAAATGGAAGCGGTCAGTTAAGAAAAAGGGAAGGAAGTCAGGCAAGCAAGGTAGGGAAGGATCAATGTAGGCCAGGGAGGAAAGCCAGAGGGGGGGTGGTTGAAGGAAAATCTTACTTTAGGGTCCCGTGAGTGCTCGGGGCACAGCACCTGGAGCCGCTTACAGTATGTTTTGCTCTGAGGATTGTAGACATCACAGAAGAGCCGTGTGGCCCTGTGGGTTTACAGTGGAGAGAGGAAAGTAGAGGTAAAGTAGGAAAGAGGCCCTTTTATCCTCGCCTATGCTTATATCCTGTTAAGCCTACATACTCATTTTGCTTCTGACCCCAGCTTTATCCCCCAAAACTCTGCATTGTGCTCCCACTTACCCTTCAATGCGTGTGGGGTACATGGACCCAAAAGATGTCTGGCTTTCATACTGGAGGGATGAGCACAAACGAAGGGAACTGTGGATTGCGCTGCACACTGGCCCAAGACACCACCCGGACAATGATTCCCCCACTGGCCGGGTGATGTTCCCACACCATCCGCCCCCTCAGGCTGACACCCGGACCTTGGCATAGCAGCGCTCCATGTGGCGCAAGGCAACACGTGGGTTGATGGGGTGACCACAGGAGACGCAGAAGATCTGCAAGTCTGTGTCGTCACTGTCACCCTCGTTGCTCTGCATGGGGTAAAACAGGCCGTAAGGCCAGGAGGGACCAGGTGTGGGCCCTGCCCCGCCATATCCCTGCTTGCTCACCTCCTCATCCTCACGCACAGCCTGCTGCTTGGCACGCATAATTATGGCTTCAAGTTCATGAAATCGACGCTCCATTTCTTGAAGACGGGTCCGGGCACTCTGTTGCTCACGACGAATGCGTTCAAGCAACTTCTTGCCATGCTCTTCAGCAATGCAGGGGCTCTGCTGCCATTGCTGGATGCGCTGGGGGAGGATCTCATAGATGCGGCTGTAAGGAAAAGGTGGGTAGGGTGCAGGCAGGGAAAGTGGCAGCAATAAGAAGAGTAAGTGGGGTGATCAAAGGATGGCAAATGGATGTGTGACAAAATGGTGAAAGGATAAGTAAATAGGTGGGTGGATGATTGAATGGTAGATAGACGGGCAGTGGACAGATGGAACATACAAAGAGCTCTGTTCATATCCTACCCTATACTTCCTTACTCCCTCAAGCTCCCCAAGAATGACTTACTTGGCTGCCAGCTTCATGCCACAGTCATCTGAGCAATACTTGGAGCCGGGCTGGGCAGGGCGCACGCAGCCAGGCCCCAGGCACTGCGGTAGTGATGCAGGGTCCTTGGCATCGGCCCTCTCTGGGTGTTTCCACTTGTCCTTGTGCTTCTGCTTCTGCCGATGCCGCTTATATCTCTCCTCCTTCTATGGGACAAGACAGATCAGGTCAGGATGGAGTGGAAGTCAGCCTCCAGATCTGTCTCTCTTTCCACTCCAGCTATTCTTGTTCTTGCCCCTGACCTCCTCCTCTCACCTCCCTCTCTACCCATCCTCTACCTTCCCACACCCATTTTACCCTGTCAGTCACCTTCTTCTCAGACTTCTTCTCCCGACGCTTCACATGCTTCACTTTCACTGCCCTCTTCCGCAGTGCAGGGTCCAGGAATGGGGACTCTTCTGTGTCACTCATCCAGGGCTGCAAGCAGGACACACACTAACCCACCACCTCCACCCATAACAACCCCACCACCTATTTGTTTCCCGTTAGCCTTCATACTCTGCTTCCTCTCTCATGAAGAATATTCTTTGTGCTCAGTGGTTAGGGCGCTGGCCACATAGACCAGGGCTGGCCTGGCAGGTTCGAACCTGGCCCGGTCCTGCTAAACAACGACTATAACAAAAAAATAGCTAGGCATTGTGGCGGGTACCTGTAGTCCCAGCTACTTGGGAGGCTGAGGCAAGAGAATTATTTAAACCCAAGAGTTTGAGGTTGCTATGAGCTGTGACACCACGGCACTCTACCAAGGGGCACACAGTGAGACTCTGTCACACACACAAAAAAGAATACTCTTTGTTTTTGTAACCTCTCCCCTTCCACTATGGGATACTTCTGCCTGCTCACCAAACCGTGGTCATCAAAGGCCCCTGCACAGAAGTCCTGGTACAGGTCAGGATCCAGAGGTAGGTCCTCATCAGAGAGTGGCTCAGGTGTGGCCATAGCCTCTGGTGGCTCTTTGACTGCTGATGATGCCATTACCCCCTCATCTTCACGGATGCGCCCTAGCTTCTGTGATGGCTGTGGCTGCTGTTGGGTGGGCAGTGGCCGGCGGGGCCTTGGCAGGGATTCTGAGGGTGTCACCGGCGAGAGCTGCGGGGCAGAATCTCAGGACTGGCCCTGACTGCCCTGCCCGCATGCCCCACCCCGCCCTGGGGGGCTGGACTCACCGAGGAAGGGAAGTACTTGTACGATTCCTGTGCCGGCAGGAGGAAGGCCCAGGTCAGCCCCAGGTGGATAGAGGATGGCCTTGCCCTAGCCCCACCCACCTGGTCTTGCCTCCTCAGACACACCTGTCCCCTACCCCTCACTGCCAGGACATGCTCAGCTATGCCTGATCTGCACTGACACACCTGACCACCCTGAAATACTTGGCTCCACCCAGGGTCGGGGGTTCTTCTGTCAGCCCAGCATACCCAGTCATGCCCCATTCATCTGGACACGCCAGGCCCCTTCCCACCTATCTGGTTATAGTTAGGCCCCACCGTACCTGGGCTACTCATGCCTGGCCTTAACCAGCCCTTTATGGACTGTCCCCACTCTTGATCTTGCCCAGCTGTGCCCATGCTCACCCGGGCCCGCAGCTGGCACTGGCGTAGCCGGCACTTCTGCCGGATCTTGTTAGGGCCCCCAAATTTCTTCATGTCCCGACAGAAGTCACAGTGGCCACAGTCCTCAGTGCGTCGGCACGCCTCACAATCACCACACATGCGGGCTGACCGTTTGATCTGCTGCTGCTGCTGCTGCTGCTGCTGCTGCTGTTGCTGGTGATGCTGCAGAAATATGGCCAGAACAGAAATCAAGGACCCAGGCAGGGCCCAAGATGGGACCACTTTACACATGCTAAAAAATCTAGCACTTACCTGGCTAGGTGTGGCCACCAAGGGCTGTGGAGATGATTTGTGGGGTGAAGCAGAGCCCCGAGCAAGCATGGCCCCAACCCCTGTCCCTGACCCTGCCCGGCGCTGCAGGTCGGGATCTGGGACAGGCCTCTTGCGCCCTCCACCTTCATCCCGGGGCTCACTGCCA